TTTTTCTTTTTGCTTATGTGGTGCTGAGGAATCGAACCCAGGGCCTCATGCATGCAAGGCAAGCGTTCTACCACTGAGCCACCTTCCCAGCCCCACAACAGTTGATTTGTATTATGTAATTTTCAAAATTGATAAGCCATGGAGGTGAGATGTAATTGAAAATGGCTTGTATGGGAAACTTGTATTTGTATAGACATTTCTTACAACGATGAATAAATCAAAACTTTACCTTTTAATTAACAGATCTTCTCCCTCGGACATGGCAACAAGCAACTTTCATTTTGCATCACGTGATACAAAACGGGGGCCCAGACAACTTGGAGAATCTGATATGAGCAGGTCAGTAGGGCATCCAGGCATTCTCAGGAACCACAGACAAATATTTCAACCTTTTGGGTAATATAATATTGATAGTTCTGGAGTGTGTTGTGTTTGACAAACCAGTGAGGTGTGGGGCCTAGGCAATTACAGGAAATTACAGTGTTCTGTTTCTAAATTAGGCAAGAACACGAGTTATATAACACAGTGTTATATAACAACAAGAATAAAGTCAACTTTTGGGGCATAACTTCCTTTGTTTTTTCTTTCACTGGTACAGGAGCTTAAACTCAGGGCCTGGACACCGTTCCTTAGCTTTTTCACTCCTTAGCTTTTTCACTAAGGCTGATACTACTCATTTCTGGCCATAGAGCAGAAGAGACCAAAAGAGGGAGCTGGGGTCCACAGTCCTCTTGAAGAGCATCTCTCAGTCATTCAAAGACCTCCTGCTATGCCCCATGTTTAAAGATTTAATCATTTCTGAATAACATCTCCCTAGAGAACCACTCTTTAACCTAAAGGACTTTGAAGAACATTACAGATCCAAACTATAACAGAGAGTTGTGTGTTAGGACACAAAGCCAGGTTGAGGAAAATTACCTTTGTTACTGCAGTTGCTTTAAAAAGAAATGAGTGAGATTCATGAAGGTCTTTGAGTTGGGAAGAGATAAGACAGGAAGGGATTAATGATACACATTCAGGAAGACATGAGATGTGAGAAATGATTTGAAGATGTTTTCATTATAATATTAATATTTGCTGATTGCATATATTTTCAAAAATAATCTCCCTTCTGCCTTTTAAGCAGTAGGTCTCTTAATATACAAGTGAGAACAAGTGTAAGCTCCACAGCCTAATGAGACAATTGTCAAGTAGAGTAAAGTTGTGTGTGTGTGTGTGTGTGTGTGGCTCTTAAGTAGTTAGGATGTATTGCAAACAAAGGCTTTCCCTATTTCACTGGTCACAGTACAGCTCATTCCATCCACAAACACTCATTTGCTTCTCAGAACAAAGATGTGAAGCAGGCAGGGAAGTTTGGACTTCAGTTTAACAGATGAGAAACCCTAAAGCCAGGTGACATACTTAAAGTGCCACAGTCAGGCATTTTCACATTGCTCTCAATTTGCCTCCTTGATTATTATCCCTCTTGCTTGTTTAGCCTTAACAAGAGTTTTGATAGCCAGGGCTTCTTTTTGATTCTTCCTTCAGCCTGTCAAAATAAGGAGTCTTCTCATAGATGTTAATGTACATGACTAGCGAAGATGTCTTAAAGCTTTGACATTCTTTGAGTTTATTGCTGTCATCTTTAAAGGGCACCAATGACAAAATTTGAGACATTTATAGATTGTGTGTTCAGCTCCTTAAGTCTGTTGATACACTAGCCGTTGATCTGTTAAGACAGTTGGGAAAAATGAGGGAAGATTTTCCACACTGGCACAGAGTTTTCTTGTCCTTCTTCCTCTGCCTAATCTCTCTCTCTCTCTCTCTTTCTCTCTTTTGTTGGTCGTGGAGCTTGAACTTTGGGCCTGGGTGCTATCTCTCAGCTCTTCAGCTCAGGTTGAGTGCTCTACCACTTGAGCCACAGCACCACTTCCGGTTTTCTGGTGGTTTATTGGAGATAAGAGTCTCATGGACTTTCCTGCCCGGGCTGGCTTTGAACCGCGGTCCTCAGATCTCAGCCTCCTGAGTAGCTAGCATTACAGGTGTGAGCCACTGGTGCCTGGTTTGCCCCATCTCTTAATGAGAGGTGTGAGACATGGTGTTGGGTCTTTAAATTGTTAAGTCATTGTAAGTCATTGTGTGTGTGTGTGTGTGTGTGTGTGTGTGTGTGTGTGCGTGTGTGCGCGCGCGCATGTGTGTGTGTGTGCAATTGAAGAGTCATAAAAGTAGAAAGCAGAACCAGGAGTCTGAGGTCTCAGGATAAGGGATAGAAAGAAAAATCTTTTAGAGACTTGTTTGTTTTTCACTTACTGCCAGGTGTGCCAGCCCAGGGTGGGTACAGAGCACTGCTAAGTTATTTAGCGATGGTTGGTATTGGGGAATCCTAGCATTAGCATGGAGTTCTGGCCCTGAGGAGGCTGAATAGCAGCAATTAGTAGGGATGGAATGTCTAAATGGCTAAAACATTAAAATTGTGGCAAATTTTGACAAGGGGCTAATGAGGGAGAATCTTGAAAAGAGAGAGAATCTTGGATTGGTTGGTAAAGAATACAGGCTAGAGGAAATTTGCTATTTACCTAGTATAGAGTATCAGTTTTTCAGATGAAAGCTCTGGAGATTGCACAACAATCTGAATATCCTCAATTTTACACTTAAAGATGGTTAAGATAGTAAATTTTATGTTAAGTGTATTTTATTACATATATGAAAAAGATTGTAGGACAGATTGCCCAGATCTTTATTATAGAATTTAGGCTAGCTTCTTTTTATCTCTTTTGTATTAGAAGGTACATTGTCCATGCAGGTAAGGCATGAATACTATTTCCTCTTGCAAAGAAAAACTCAAGACCTCAGGAAAGTGGAAATAGATTTTTTTAACTTTTTTTTGGGGGGGAGGGGTCTAGTCGTGGGGCCTGAACTCTGGGCCTGGGTGCTGTCCCTCAGCTCTTCAGCTCAAGACTAGCACTCTACCACTTGAGCTACAGCACCACTTCCAGCTTTTTGCTTTTTGCTTATGTGGTGCTGAGGAATCGGACCCAGGGCCTCATGCATGCATGGCAAGTGCTCTACCACTGAGTCACTTTCCCAGCCCCGGAAATAGATTTTTTTGATATGCATCTTACTTTCCTGCTGTTCTTCCATGTTCTTGCTTTTTGCTTCCTGTTAACTCATTTGGCATTTGCCCAAGGAACTGACCTGGATACTTATTGTTGTCTAGCATCTATACCAGTAGGATGACCCAGGGTAATTACCAATGTTTGCCAAGAAGCCATTTCAAAATAAGTTAATTTTAGTAGAGCCATTTATTGGGCAATATAAAAATATTACCATACTCACGTATTAAAGAAGGAGTAGGAAAGAAGAGAGTCCAGAAATGTTATCTAGTGAATTCCTTACTCCAGTAATCTGGGCATGGGAGGAGTAATGAATTCTTGGTATCATTACTGCAGGAGAGGAGAGATGCTTTCTTGCCCTTCTCTGGGTTCATGGCTGAAGCATCTATAACAAAAGCGAGATAAAAAGAGAAATACATTCAAGTTTATTTAATATTTAAAGTCTTTTATATGAGATGGAAGTCTTTATAATGGAGATCAGTTAGCAACTGGGAAATCTATGCTGCTAAATTCCCTCAGTTTTAACTCCATTAGCTCAAAAAGCCCCTTTGTAAAATGATGCTAATCTATGAATGTCCTCTTTACCAGTTCTCTTTCTATCCCCCATTCCCCCCAATAAAAGTCAGTATAAATTGTAAGGTTTCAGAGAGTAGAGACAGAATTGAAATGGTTCTGGAATCTGTAATCTTACTAGGATCCTAATTTCAGTGGAATCAGTATTTTTTTTTTTTGGTCAGTCGTGGGGCTTGAACTCTGGGCTTGGGTGCTGTCCCTCAGCTCTTCAGCTCAAGGCGAGCACTCTACCACTTGAGCTACAGAGTCACTTCTGGTTTTCTGGTGGTTTTATTGGAGATAAGGAGTCTCACGGTCTCTCCTGCCCAGGCTGGCTTTGAACCGTGATCCTCAGATCTCAGCCTCCTGAGTAGCTAGGATTACAGGCGTGAGCCACCAGCGCCCGGCATGAATCAGTATTTTTATTTTTATTTTTTTATTTTTTGTGAACATACTGTACAGAGGGGTTACAATTACAGGGGCAAGATAATGAGTGCATTTCTTATCAAGCATTGCAGCCTCCTCCTTTGTTTACCCTGCACATCCTTTCCCAGCCTCCCCCCGCCCTCCCACCCAATCCTCCCCTCATCTCCCCTCCTGTTGTAAAGTTCATTTTCAACATGACAACTTGTACTTCTCATTGTTGCAACGGGTCCACCTGTATCATTAAACGACTTGTTTTTCCCCATCTCCTCCACAAATTATACCGACATCAAATATAGTGAAAGCCAGGGGTTATACTGTGGGGGAGGGACATACAAAGCAACAAAGAGATAATCTTATAAATGCGTTAGAAACAAATGCATGAAAGAAAAATACCTTTAAATACATATCTAAGGTTCATTTTCCTAACATCACATTATCTGACCTTTTCTGCTTGACTCATACATATACTAGATATTGCAAATAAGGGAAACCATGGGACCTATGTTTCTTTGGGCTTGGCTT